CTGGCGCACCTGGTGCAGGTGTACTGCCCGCTGGAGGGCGCCCCCTCCCACCGCGTCGCCAACGTCTTTGCCTGCGCCGGGAGGGGCTGCTGGGGAGCGCCCCGCAGGTGAGGGGCGGCCTCGCCGCGTTACCGCTGAACGGGGCAGCTCGGCTGCCGCTGATGAGTGCCGCCTCGGCTCAGGCGCTTTGTCCCTTACGTGCCCGCCTTTCTTTGTCTTACACGGCGTGTGAAAGCTGGAAGGTGCTGCGCTCGCAGTGTTTGCAGGCACAAGAACAGGAACCGCAGGACTACGGCATAAACCAGGTATCACTGACGAACTGCCGCCTCTGGTTCAGTGTGCCGTACGACGTGCAGTATTGAGGAGGTTTTAAAATAAAAATGCAGTTGATATAGATGAGTTTCGCACCGTATACGTACTCGTTTAATAAGCACAGCCTTCCTCAAGAAGCTGCGCTATATGCTAGTTTCAAGTCGTGGTTGTGGAATTTTTAACGCTGCGAGTACTACACTTTACTTGCTAGAAGATTAACTTCTTGTTTGTGATCTATGTTAGGCTTGTTTTAAAGTGGAGATTGAGGTCCAACTGTATGGTCAAAACTGATATTTAACACTTTTAATTACTTGAGCTACCTAAAAATTATTTTTCAACTTTAAATGATTGGGCTATACTGTTTAGGTGGATCTTCAAGATACTGTCTTCATTTTCTAATTTAAATAGATTTTTTTAAAAAAAATTATCAGAAGTTTTAATTAATCTGACTCAGTTATTCTTAATGTACTTCTGGTATTTTTGCTTGTGAAGAAAAACTGCATGTTGACTTAAGACTGAAAGAGGAGGGTGGCTGTGAAACTAGCGATGACAGGCAGAAAGTGTTTATTCAGCTGGTGCATTGGCAACATGAAATTTTGGTCTGTGGTAAAATGATGGTATTACCATTTTTCTTGTTGTAATTATTGTTTTCCTCCATACTCTGCCCTTTGAGCTTACCTGTGGTGCAGTAACTGTGTTTCAGATAAGCGTACCCAAACTAGCTGTCAGTGGTCATGCCAGCAGCCAAGGTATGGCAATATTATGTCCAAACGCCGTTCAAAAAGCCAACAAATTCTTGTTCCATTTGTCCAGTGTGGGATGTTTTTTGCCATAACTGCGCTGCTGTGAAAAGTAAACGTGGGTACCACTGTGAAGAGAGTAGGTGAAATAACACTAAGCATTAGGTTAAGACTTTTGTTTTCTTATCTGTTCTGAAACTGTATTTGAAGGGCATTAGGGTGGCTGATCTTGACAATGTTCTTTTTCTGGTTTTGTTTGTTTTTGCATTCTCAGAAACAAGAATCGAACTTTGCTGCAAAGGATTGGTGTGATGAAGCAGATGACTGGGGAGTCTGTGATGGAGCAGAATCTCCTCAATGTGCCTCCCTTCAGCTGCTTGGCTTAAATGAAGCGGTGAGCAGCTCCTTGTCCAGAGAGGTGGAGTGTGCATCCCAGTTCCAACAGCTTCGCTTGTCTGAAGCTGTGGATGGGTCCAGTTCCCTGAACACACATCCTCCAGTCAGTGGGGGAATGGTAGTGGCAACGTCTAGTTCAGCTCCTGTGTTCCAGCCCTTTTACATTAGTGTTGTGGATGAGGAAGATTACACTGGTTTCCTTGATACAGATCACGCAGATGAGCTGTTGAAGGAGTATCAGCAGAGAGAGGGTGTTGATTTGGAACAGTTGATGTCAGAAAGGTGAGAACAGGTCTGGATTTCATGCTGAAACTGAAGGGATTATGTAGTTTCCTGTTTGCTGACTGATAATCTAAATCTGATTCTCACTAAATCAGAATGCTTCTTGTTTGTAACTGGCTCCTTCAGGAAACATTGGTGTGTAGTGCTTTGCTGGAAGAATGTAACAATGCACCCAGTTCTGTAAAATTTTGAGTTATTCAGAGATGCATCTATTTCTGAGTGACTGAGCAATTAGAATGTCCTTGGGCTCCAGATGGCCAGCCATCCAGATGGACTGTCAGTCTCTGAAACCAAACCAATGTGGTTTAAACAATATCTTATGCTAAATGGCATGAGTTTATATTGTGACATTTGACTTTTTTTTTTCTTTACAAGGCTAAACCTTTTCTTATATTCCAGTTGCATTTTTAAAAGTTTAATTACTTAGGCATTTTGGATAGAGATGGGGATCATGGTAAGACTCCTGAAGATTTTGTAAAAGTTGTCTGAAAAACAATATTTGAACGTAGTTACTGAAAATATTTTCAGTATTAACTTAGGTGATAACTTATCCAGGTGAGCACTTATATCCAGACCATTTCTCTTTGGATTATATTAACATGTACTGTGACTTTTCCTGGATTGTGGACAACATTGATTTTTTTGATAACTAAAGCTACTGTCTATTGCAGAATCTGCATAGAATGCTTTTTAGTAGTGGTGTTCCTGTTGAGTTTTGTTGACCTGTATAGAATCGTAGAACTGTAATTACAGTTAATTCCAAATTTAGAAAGAAAACATCATAATTTTAAAACTAGAAAAAGTTCTGAGAATTTAATAAAGGAATTATTTTTTTAAGGAATAAGCAGGTATCTGGTGGATTTGAATATTGCGTAGTAGTTTGAAACGCTGTTAGTAATTGTAAGCCACCAGAAACTGAAGAACTAGAATCAAAATGTTCACTTGCAACCTCTAACAGGAATTGCCGTTCAATTTAACATGTATAGTTTTTTTCAGTGTACTTAGTATAATTTAATGTAAATGTATAGTAACCATTGTTTATTTAAAACATGCATATCATACTGAAAACCTTATTGGAAATTTTATTTCTTTTCTTGTTTTCTTATAGTTTTGCAGGTGAAGGTGATAATGAAAAATATGAAAAGAGTGAAGTCAAAAGCAGGGACTACACGTTCCATAAATTTATGAAAAGAATATCTTTGTGTCATGAACAGATTATAAGGTATGTTGATCATCTGGTTGTAACAGGTAGATACAGATCATAGACATGGATTGTTAGTACATCAAAATAAACTATTTCATTGGAAATGTAGATATGTTTTTATTTCTTAATCAAAAAATTTGCTAAGAGGGCTGTTGTCATGCCTTTGTAGTCAGACCTCAGTCCCTGCTTGGGCTTTTTTATACGAAGTATAAGTAGACGAGAAGCAAAGCAGGATCAGAGACCCCAGATCTGGCTATGGGAGACTTTTTTCAAGAAAAGCCCTCATGAGAACAGACCCAGACTGTCTTTGACAACTTCCTGAAATCCAGGCATAGATATTTTCAAGAGACAGTTGTGAGGCAGAAGTGTAATACACAGTGGTATGCTGTTGTGATAGATTTCCAAGGCTATCTGCTCCTCTGAAATTTTATAACCCTACTGTAACTGCTTATATCTCAATCCTTGAGATGTTACTGAAGTAAAAAATTACTCGTCTTACAGCCCGAGTTCTTCTGCGGCTTATTGTGATTACCCCTTGGGACCCTGCAGTCTTCAGTTCTTGTAAATCTGTTGCTTTTCCTAGAACAAAAGCAGATTAACCTCAGAGCAGCTACTTTCCTGAAAGAGGACTTAATTGTGAATGGAAGTATAACGAAGAGTTCAAATCACAAATTATTCATAGCACCAGATAATACAGATGGTTTTCATGGATCATACTAAGTGTTAGTTTTTAACTTCTTTGTCCCAGAGAGTCCAGTGCAGCCTGTCTGGTAAAGCTGTCTCAGTGTAGTGACAGGACCTTTGTTTATCAAGTTTCCAGAACCAGGTGGAACTAACTGGTACCTTTTGAATGAGGAGATAAAGTCTGAGGGGCTGGTTTCACAGATAAGAAACATTAGAAACTTTCATTAATTATCTATCAAAGGTTATACAGAAAATGTACTAATGCGGAGTGCAAGTAACATTTTCAGACAATGTTTTTTCACTGGATCTGTCACTTTGCAGTATTATGCTCTTTGAATTTTCCATTCTTCTAAAACATGAACTCTGGTGATCCTTATGACTATGACTAGTTAGGATCTTTATGTAGCCCTCCCTTTCCCCTTCATGGGTATTGTGAGTATGCCTGTTAGACCCCCATTTCTCCTGGGCTACCAGATCTCTGTTGAGCTTTCAGCACAGCGTAGAATCCCCTGCTTGGCATTCAGTGGAAACCATCTTCAAACTTGGTTTTCTGTTAGGTGTGAAGCTATGATAGCTCTTACAGATAAACGTCAGTTCTATGGCATAACTACAGTGGTTTTGAGACCTATTCTATGTTGAATATCTTTAACTGCCACTGGTTAGCGTTCCATTTTTCAGGAAAGCATAGTTTGCTTAATTGAATGAGTTGGGTGCAGCATATTTTGGAGGTGTCAGTTCAAAGCATTTTTCTCCTTTAAATCCAGTTCTTTCCTTAAGAATTCCCAAGTGTTAACTTTCTAAGTATTTCTCCCTCCTCATCTTTATTCTTTGTTTAATGACTCATCTGAAGCTTAGGCAGCGATTCTGGCTCATAACAATGTTTTGTGCTTCAAGCAAGTTCGAAAGTTTCAGAGAATCTTGAACGCTGTTGCCAACATGTAAGTTTTCCTAATTTAGATACAAAAAAAAATTTACTTTTTTCCTTTCTTCTCACAGATACTCTTGGGGTGGCCAGCCTTTATTCATAACATGTCCTCCAGCCAACATTAACAAAGGTATTCCAGCCTGCAGCAACTGTGGAAGCAACAGAATATTCGAATTTCAACTCATGCCAGCACTGGTCAGCATGCTCCAGAGTGATTCAGGTGTTGACCCTTTGACTTAGCTGAATGAATGCTAGAAACAGTCATTCTGTAAAGTCACCTTCTTGGTAAAGTTTAGGGAACTGCAATTTGGATTGTTTATTGCTAACCACACGCACTGATGTGTTTACCTACAGTGATCATCTTATATAGAATCCACTCTGTTTCCATTATAGATTTCACTAAGCAAAAGATACAACTCTGGTTTATGGAGAATCTATGATGGTAACTTCGTTTGCTTACTGGTGAACTTGAATAACAGCAATATAGATAATTCCATGACCTTGGGAGCAATTTGTCTTTATTGCCTCTTAAGTGAGGCCTTGGAAAATAATAAATATTGTCAGATAAGATTGCAGACACTTGAGAAGCTCTTTGAAAATTCTGAGTCAGCTTGCTTTAAAATCTTTAAAATTAGAAAATGCTATGTACATAGGAGGCTGAATATGAAAAATATTTTTTGAATTGGCAAAGGTGGAAAGTATAGCAATAAGCAATAGCCCTGATTGTGTAATTTTTCATACCTTTACATTACGTACCTTTATTGCTTTGTTTTTAGATCTGTCAGTGGAATTTGGAACTGTTCTAGTTTACACATGTGAGAGAAGCTGTTGGCCAACAAATCATCAAACCCCTCTGGAAGAATTTATTTTTGTACAAGAAGACCCAGATCAGAGATTATTTAAATAAACTGTATTTCTCTGCATAGATGGAAGCCTGTTGTGTTTTTTTTTTTTTTTACTACAGGTGAAAGTGTGTAATTATGCAGCAGAATTTTCCTCGGATGTGGTGAAAAATGAAATTAATTTTATGACATTGTGCTTATTTCCAAGAATAACTGATTAACACATATATTAGCATGCCTCTCAAATGTGGTGACAGAAAATTTTCATGCTTTGGTTACACATGGAAATCTAAGAGTAGAGATTGTTTCATGATTCTAGCTACACTTAACGTTTGGGGAAGAAAGTAAAGGAGAAAGGTTGTCTTACTGCAGTTAGTTACACTGCTAGCATTCCTCAGCCAAACAGGATCCAGTTTTTAGAAACTATTGGCAGTGAAGACCTTAATGAAAGCTTGATTTTAAAAACCAGATCTGCTTTGTTTTGACCACAAATTGGAAATTCAGTGGGTGGTGGCTGAAAGGGCCTTGCTGTCACTACAGTCTTCCTATGATGAAGCTTTTCTATGTTTTTCCAATGAAGGGTAAGTTGCATTTGCATGGTTACATGAGCTCTGACAGTCACATTGCTTTGGATGGGGAAAGGGTGGAGGTTTTTGTTGGCGCTTGTGTTCTCGCCAGCACAGAACGATGGGGTAGGTACAGCATCTGCCTTGTTACTGCAGTCTAGTGCTCGCAGGCTAATCGTGCTGCTTTAGTTTAAAACAGTCTAAATTCTTCTGTGGAGTTCCCTGTTGGTTTAGGCTAAATTGCAGTATTTTAATTGACTTAATGGAGAAGTAATTTAAGTAAGCGTCCTTAAAGCATTTTGTACAGGTTTAATGCTGCAGCACAAATTAACGCGCTAAAAGTGTGGGTTTAAAAAAAGAGGGGAAGAGGGATAAAATGATGGAATGTGTTTGCAAAACTACTTTTTTGAAGGAAGAATTGTAGGTTACCATGCCAGCTTCTCGAGGTGAGTCAGTTAACTTCGGCTGACATACATAAAAACCTCACGTTATGCCTGGAATACGCCGGTGCTCCCCAGGGGTGCTCGGCCCGCTCTTGTCCCCAGCGGTGGTTTCTGGGCCGAGGCCTGGCTGCAGCAGACGGGTGAGGGCCGGCTTT